ATGCTTTAAAATGTTTATAATATAAAATGTTTAAAATATCTAGGTTTTAACTAATAGTTTTTCTTTTAAAAAGAATTAGACATTTCAATAACTTAATTGCCTCGCTTGACGTTTGTACGTGTGTCTACATAATAACATTTAAAAATTGCACAGCACATAACAGTGTTTTCACTTCACACGTAAATATTTAATTTTCAGACGAACACAAGAATTTTGTCTTAAAAAAATGAACACAACAATTAGAAGAAACAACACCCTGATGAAGACATTGTGCTAATGTCGAAAGTACTCGCAATAAAATGAATATGCATCAACATGGTAATTTTCTTTCTTCCTTTAATAAGGATACTAAGAAACTTGTTCGTAATTATGAAAGGATCCTATTAAAAATAAGTAGACAAAACTTGCCTAAATTATTTAATCACACACACACGCACACACATATGATGGTGAATATCTTTGTTTAAATGTCCCCATAACCACTCTGAAGATGGCTTATGTGAGCCAAAAGCTTAGATCAAGGACAAGCTTAATAAAAAATATCCAAATGTTGAATAATTTTTGTCTTTATTTTTACCCGAAATTAAAGCAAATACACGGAGTTTAGAACGGTTCATGATCAAACATAATAGACATTCATTGTCTGTTTTATTTAATAAGATATGTTTAAATATATATGTGTGTGTATGTGTGTGTGTCAATGTGTGTGTGTGTGTGTGTGTGTGTGTGTGTGTGTGTGTGTGTGTGTGTGTGTGAAAGTGTGCGTGCAGGCGCGCGTGTGTGGGTTTCTTAAATTTATAAAACTGCTTCCGCCCGTGTCGTATTTTCGTAAACAAAACAAGCGCAAATCAAAATATCTGAGGTACATATATAATGTTGGGTGAAAAATTCCACATATATATATATATATATATATATATATATATGAATTTTTTACCCAACATCATTTCTTATGACTATAATCGATATTTTATTTGGTATATGTTTGTGTTCCTATTCTTTTTATATTTCTTAAAAAGTGAAATTAATAACAACCGGACGAGATTGAGAAGTTCTACTAAAAACGAAACTCTACTTCCGCTTTACAAATGGAATTAAACTTATATCCTTTCTTCCATAAGCAAAACCATTCCTATAGCTGAAATGTTCCACTATCAATTTGGCGACGGGATGTTTCAAATTACCTATTTAAGCAACACATATCTCTCATTGGGGCTTCTCCTAATCTGTATCTGCTAGATTCAGTTCCGTACTCGTAAACAATAGTTATTTTTGAATGGATTTTTATCCAACATTATTTCTTGCAACTATAAACGTTATTTTTAGTGTGCACACGTTTGTATATATATATATATATATATATATATATATATATATATATATATATATATATATATATATATAATTATTTTTTAAAAATATGTTTCCATCGCGACACAGAAATTATTTCAAAACCAAAACTTAAATCTTGAATTAAACTTAAAATTTGATGTTCAGTTCCATTTTCAAGGGATATTGAAAATGGAACTGAACTTCAAATTTTAAGTTTAAGATTTAAGTTTTGGTTTTGAAACAGTAATTTCTGTGTAACGCCGATTCTCTCGCAGGGTGTTAGTTGTAACGCGATCTCTGGTCAAGGCGTCCATGTGACACCGTATCCTAACACCACTGGGCCGACATCATCCACAAGACCGGCCGTTGATCCTATATGGTTCAATATTACAGGTTAGACCTAAGTCTTTGGTTTCAAATGTCGTTTCGATTCCACTCACCAGCCACGTTGTAATTCTTTATCCTGTCGAGTTGTTATCGGGACGTAGAATTTCCAAAGTTCTCCGTTGGTCTACTTGCAAGGTTGTTGGGTGAGAATCGGGATAACAGCAAATAAATGTGGCCAAGTTGATCCGATTTTAGAAGGAGAAAAGTTTTATATATATAACATTACTTATACATACACACACACACATATATATATATATATATATATATATATATATTACATTATTATAATAATGCACTTCGTGGCAAAAAGTTGAATATTTCTTGTATATGAACGATGATCAACAAAACAAAAGTTTGTTAAAGGAGAGAGGTAGCTTAGTTTTAACCCTTTTTGGTCTGTTCTTAGCGCAACTACTACAACCGCCGATGTAGTAGTAATAGTAGTAGTAATTTTAGTGGTAGAAGGACCAGCGGTATTTATATCAACAGCACATGTTAGCGGGCGCTTTGTTCCAATCTCTGACGTCACTTCCTCGCTGTCTCTAACCCAACTCTGTTCTACTCTCAACCCAACCCAACTCTGCTCTGCTCTCAACCCAACTCTACTCTGCTCCCAACCCAACTCTGCTCTTTATATAGAGAACTGGTGACGTATTTGTTTCTTCTAGAGCAAACGTACTGACATACTTTTATTAGGAATGGGATCGACTCATTTCCCGACACACTTCTAAATTAAAACTTTACACTCGCTTCATCTTTCAGTACCCTGAAGCATTGCCATTGTTCTGAGTTTATCTATTAATAGCTCTGAGCAATTTTGGTAAAATTTACATAGATTCCTGCTGTCTTCTATTAATAATCTGATATCTTTTGTACGCTTAAAAAAAGATTGTATTTCGTTTTTTAAATAAAATCTGTAACATTAATATGTCAAAGTTTTTAAGGCATATAAACATCTTGGTTATTCGAAAACACCTCTCTTCAATTGGTGTTTTTTGTTTCACAGCGTCCTTTTCTATTATTATTTCGGGTGATATTGCCCCCCCCCGCCCGCCACATCCGTGTCGCGATGGAAACATATTTTAAAAAAAAATAATTATAATATTATGCTCTACTGTGTATCGATCAAAGTTTTTTTTAAAACGAAGTTTGGATTATAAATCTAACTGTTCTTACTTTTTATTTTTGATATATATATATATATATACATATATATTTGGTTGGATTGATGTGAGTTTGTGACCCTGGGTTTCACACTTTTGTGATCGTCAGACAATTTATAAAACCCAGGGTCACAAACTCACATCAATCCAACCTAATCTGTTAGCTCTATCTCTGATATTGAGCGCTTTCTAATAAGTACAGCGCATATAATATATAAATATATATATATATATATATATATATATATATATATATATATATATATATATATATATACAGTTTTATGATTTCTATTGAGCGTAATCGAGTATTAGCTGTAATTAAATGAAAGATAAGAAATACTGCTTCCTAGAAACTTCCCTTTTACAATGGGAATATTTTAAAAATTCAAGTATATAAGAATGTTAGCGTATATATATTCGTACATATTAAAATATGTTATGCAGACAAACACACACGCATATAAAACGAAAGAGGATATACGAGTGCTTCGTGTGATTTAATAGGCCGGTTGATGTAATTTGAGGAATAAAAGACAACAAAATGACAACAATATCGGCCATAAGAGTGATATTTATTTAATATAATTGGCCCTGACCTAGCGTCTCGTCTACAGTCACTCTCTCACAGACGCGCCGTCGCCTCTCTCTGTCTTTTCTACAAATACTTTCATGATAATTGCTCCGATGAGCTGCTTTCACTGGTTCCCCGACTCCATGAATTCAAGCGCCCTACGAGGCTGGCATCCCGCTCCCACCCTTACACTGTAGAAACTTTTAAATGTAGCCGTCTCTTCTACTCCAATAGCTTCATACCTCGCACCTCTCGCCTGTGGAACACCCTTCCCAATTACTGTTTCCCTGAGAGCTATAATCTCCAACTATTCAAATGTAATGTCAATCGACATCTCCAGTTACCTTGATCTACCCACTATCCCTCTCCTCATCCTTTCTCCTATCACTCCTATCTGCTCTCGCTCCAAATCTTCTGCAACCCCCTGCATCCTAGTGGCTTCACGCCTTGCTCGGGGCGTAATGCTTAAAAAAAATATTAGTAGCCCTTTTGACAAAACTTTGACTAAATTGAAACACAAAGAGAAAGGTTTTAAATTCGGAATTTTCGGGCACGCCTGTGTCCTTTTGCAACGAGACAAGAAATTAACTGGTACGTGTAAATAACAACCACATCTCCTCAACGCTATACACATAAACCATAAATGGTAACTGCTACCTAATTTTCAATATTTCATTTCTTACTTGTCCCAAAATTTGAAATGATTATACTTACCAAATAAATATAATGTCTGTTTTATTTTCGGCCTTCATTAATTGCAATAAATTCCTTAGATCTAACATCCAATATAAAAAGTTTAAAACATCAAACGTAATGTTTAGCAAAAAATAATTAGAACATCAAAAATTTCCTTTGTATAAAAAAATGTTGTTTATGAATTGTTGTAGCCTTTGGGAGATTGTATCTCTAATACTAGTAATTATAAATCAACATTAATTTCTTATTTTGCTTTCACAACACCACTTCCTTGTAGATTCGCTTGTCACTTATTAAAATTTAGTGCAGTTCGTGCACATATCGATTGGCACGCCCCATGCATCCAGACAAATATTAGTAGATAATAGGAAAATACTATACAGCACTTGGTGTCATGATTATAGAAAAAAAAAAAGCAACATTTTCACGATAGGAGTGATATTTTTAAAATCAAAAATTTTATCATGCTGTGAAGTACTGTGAAAACATTGTACACACGATTTACATTTGAAATATGGCGTTCAAAAAAATGCCAAAATATAGATATCAAAATTATTCTCTATGATTAGTTGTTAATTGTTTTTGTTTAGCGGCATATCAAATTCTATGTGTCCAGATCTAAATATTTTGAACACAATTTTATTTTATTTTTTTAGATAATAATGGTTTTTAGTGATACAAGCCTTACTAATTAACCCATAGCTGGAGGAGAGAAGAGGTGGATTCATAGCTTTCCCAAGGATATTTGCGCGTAAGTGAATATAACGAACCCAACTGGAACTGAAACTCGGCTATTCGATTAACAATTCTGAGTCATTATTCATTACACCACCTGCACATCCGTGATTACAGCACCTGGTATTCCCACTTTCTATTCCCATGTAGGTACTAACCAAACGCGATGTTGCTTAACTGCGGTGATCGTACGGGAACTGGTGTTTCAAAGTGGCCATAAGCTCTATTGACTATAACGTTAACAACATTTAATTCTTGATAATAACTGAAGCCGTCGAAAGTACTGTTGTAACCTAGAAAGGGTTCCTGAAGGAGGAATAACCAAAACGGAGGTTGGAAATGAAATGGTAATCTTTATAACATCAACAAAATATAATACTCGCCAGCGGCGTGAACTAGGTAAACCACTGCTAGTGGTAAACTACTTAGTATATTATCCCAACACCGCCACTTACAATAGTGTCCAACGTATTTATGAGGTCTGGGACATACTATTATTAGTGTTCATAGGTGCGGTATATAACAAGTACTCAACAAAAACAGACCAAAAAGTTGAATTTTGCACATTATAGGCACAATCAATTTTCGATCGGGATGTGTCATAAGTTATGAAAAAATTAAAACAATCAAATTTAAACAGAGCTTATTGCTTGAATTTAAGAAAACTTTCTTGGCACACACAGACACACACACACGCATACATATATCGTTATCGTTGCATAGCAATCTTCCATGTCAACATAATAGAATATCATTTTTTATGGTGAATATATTTGTTTAAATGTCCATATAACCACTCTGAAGATGGCTTATGCGAGCCGAAAGCTTAGATCAAGGAACAAGTTAATGAAAAAATATCCAAATGTTGGACAATTTTTGTCTTTCTTTTCACCCGAAATTAAAGCAAATATACGTAGTTTAGAACAGCTCATGATGAAACATTATAGACATTCATTGTCTGTTATATAGGGGGGGGGTGCGTGCGTGCGTGCGTGCGTGTGTGTGTGTGTGCGGGCTGGTTTATGTATGTTTCTTAAATTTATAAAACCGCTTCCACCCGTGTCGTATTTTCGTAACTAAAACAAACGCAAATCAAAATATCTGAGGTACTTTGAAATATTTATAACTCAGATGAAAGTCAACCAATCTCAAAAGGGAGGATATATATATATATATATATATATATATATATATAGGATGTCCGCCCACCCCAAATTGACATCATTTAAAATGTGAATATCCGAGTAATTACATGTACCAGGCAAAGGAAATGAAATAGGCTTCATGTTGGACACAATAATAGATTTATTTATCAAAATTCGAACAAGATATTCAAAGGGATGTGAATTTAATAACCGATTTCACAAACAATTGTTCAATATGCACAGCCTCTATGACACGGCAAGTCGGTAGTCCAGCTCCTGAAAAACACGTTGTAGCATGTCTTGCGTAACGTTCTCCAGTGCCCCGAGTATTCTCTGCTTAAGTTACTCTAGGTCTGTAGGAAGACGGGAATAGAGAACTGTCCTTTCACATAGGCCCATATAAAAAAAATACACGATTTCAAGTCAGGTGAAGCTGGTGACAATTTCAGCAGTACATTCACATTATCACTGGCATACCAGATCTATCTTCCTGATAGATTCCCATTGAGATGAGACATGACAATCAACGGAGTTAGTTTTTACACATTTTACGAAAATTTGGGATCATTGAAGCGATAATTGGTTATGTTACTAGAGACAAAATGATGTCAATTATGGGGGATACTCTGTATATATATATATATATATATATATATATATATATCCAGGTAAAATGAAGACGAATGAAGTATAATTCCACTGTCCGTAACATTTAATTTACAAAAAGGACTCAATACAAAGTAGATCTAAATATTATTTATTTTAAGATATTAAAACAAAAACATGTTAAAAATCGCTACACAATTACAATTATGTTTCAACACTACAAACGTATCTCCTCGGGCGATGGTAAACTACTGTCGAGTGAACGATTACTTTAATTTCAAAAAGCAGAATACTTCCTCTTTTTAAAAAAAAAAACAAAAAAAATTATATATATATATATATATATATATATATGTCTGATTGAATAAGCTAAAATATTATGTCTGCTAATTTTTAACAAAATCCGTTCATACTCACGAATAACGTGTATTGATGTTAAAGAATGAGAGAATGTGCTATAGCCGTTTAAAGTCCTTTTATTTTCATTTCCCAAGTACTTTCAGTCTTCTGCCAAGATTATCTTCAGGGGTGCAAGTAGTACAAAACTATATATTGTTAATTATTACAAGTATTTATACAAAGTTTTGCGTTGTTATCCATTACCGTAATTTTTTCATTATGCTTTTAAATACAAAATGGTTGACAATGTTTTGAACGTCCATCAGAGCGTGAAAAAGTTATCCATTATGGAATTTTTTTCATGTTATAATGTCATTGTCATGCGCGCATTAAATCGTGAAAAACTGTTCCTTTACAGGCATTTCAGAACACTACTGCAGTATTCATAGTTGATTCTGTTCAGTGCCGGCTTTAATTTTTTAAATATAAATTGCTTCTAGTATCTGTAATCTGAAGTTGTTGTTTTCATGGTGTAGGATAGTTGTCTTGTCGATTATATATATAATGTCCGCCTACTCATTTCTATGCGACCTCGGTGATTTGTTGCAGACACCTACTGAGGTGCATTTTTGTTTGTTGAATTTCCAAATATAGTCCACTGGGGGTTTATATTGCAATTTTGCTGAGTGGCCTTTAGTTATAGTTTCTTTAATAGAACGTGTCATCTAGCGTGATCAGCAGTTTAAACAAGATCAGTACGTTCAAAAAGGCCTCGGGCACGATGGCTTTTGAATTCGTGCTTACATCAAGATTTTGAATCTACTGACCCTGTATGAACAAGCCTTATATATATATATATATATATATATATATATATAGATAACTAGACTCGTTCAAAAACCCTCCGAATTTTTGATTTGCTAATCAAATCAATCTCGAGGGAAAAAGGTTTTAAAAAAAAGAAAGAGCTACAAACATGAACTTCTGTCGACAAAAAATCGCACAGATGCAGGTCTGAAGCCCAAAGAAAAAACCCCGATACGAGTAAACAACTAACTAAAAAAAGAGCTCAATACAACCGTAGAGCAGACCTAGATACACCTAGTGAGCCAGACAAAACTATCTAGGTTTCACATAAACGGATCGACAGGGAAAGTCAAGCTAACGAGGCAAAGAGAAACGCATATTTATTGGCGATCCGTTTAGGTTAAACCTAGGTAGGTTTGTCTGGCTCACTAGGTATATATATATATATATATATATATATATATATATATAACACGATGACGAATCTCGTGACCCATTAGTGTTGTAGGGGAACCACATGTATTGCAGCCGCAGTAGAACTCGTGTTTCTTGGGCAAGATAGCCTGACGGAGTCCAACCCTCTCCAGATCGGTTTGAATTCAGAGTTTTCCTTCTCTTAGAACGGTTGCCACCCAACTCTATAGAACCAATTCTGCCCAGCTATTTACCCATAGCTGGGGGAGAGGAGAAGCGGATTCATACCTTTCCCAAGAGAACGTAATGGACCCGACTGGAATTCGAACGCGGCTTTCTGATTCCTTAATCCGAGCCGCTATCCATTACTGCACCTTTTCAATAATTTATCATCCACTGACTGGTTTGAAAAAATGCTTGTAAATTTTTTTCCAATTACAAGGTGAAAATTATCATTAACCTAATGTAATCTTAATTTGTTTGTTTGATATATATATATATATATATATATATATATATATATATATATATATATATATATTTGAATGTGTTATATATATATTGCATTAATTAACATTAAAAACAGCATAATTGCATATAAGGATAATTTTTTTTTTTCCGTATATATTTTTCTTCATACTGTCGGATCTATATCCATATATTTGCTTACATATTGCATTAATGTTCACACTATACAAGGCTCGAGGTCCACTCGAGGTAGAGGGTTACGTTACGAGGCAATTTGTGCAGATAAGAGGGGAAAGCTAAGGTTTAACCCTAGACTTGAACAGATTAAGATTGTAGTAATCGGGGTAACATAATCTTTGGAGTCGGTTCCACAGAGAAGTTGTTCGTGGAAAGAAACTGTTTGAATGGAACTTACTTCTCACAGCTGAAATACGGAGGGAATGCGGGTGGTTTGCCGGGTGGAATGGCCTGTACTTACCGTAAAGGTTCGAACTGGCGGAACCAGGGGACGTAGTTCGCCCGAGCACTTTCGGTAGAGCTTGCCACATCCCGCCTTTTGGAGAGAGCTTCGAGTGTGGAGAATAATTCGTCTCCCACAAGGGCTCGAAGACGCTTTTGGACTGTATCAAGGGTGGAGAGTGTGGTTTGGATAGCTCTCGCCCAAATATGAAAACAGTACTCCATTTGGGGCCGGATCTTGCTCTTGTAAAGGAAGAGGAAAACATGAAAAGTCAGGTACGTACTAGAGCGGTACAGGGAGCCGACTATTTTACTTTAATTTTTATCAATGGATCGTATGTACGAGTTCTACTTGTGGTGTGAGTTTAAGGCCAAGTAGTCTTTCCAGGTAAAGTGCCTCTATAAGCGGATATCTGGGCATCGTGACTGGTGGTAGTTCGTGGTCCGATCGACGATGATAGAATGTAACTAGTTTGGTTTTTGAGGCATTGAATGTAACCAGAATTTTTACCCCATTTGCCATCAGTTTCCAATAGATAGATAGATAGATAATTTACAGGTTTAGTTAGATAGATAGATAGATAGATAGATAGATAGATAGATAGATAGATAGATAATTTACAGGTTTAGATAGATAGATAGATAGATAGATTTACAGGTTTAGATAGATAGAGAGATAATGAACGGGTAGAAATAGATAATGAACAGGTTTAGATAGATAGATAGATAGATAGATAGATAGATAGATAGATAGATAGATAGATAATTTACAGGTTTAGATAGATAGATAGATAGATAGATAGATAATTTACAGGTTTAGATAGATAATTTACAGGTTTAGATAGATAGATAGATAGTTAGATGGATAGATAGATAATTTACAGGTTTAGATAGATAGATAGATAGATAGATAGATAGATAATTTACAGGTTTAGATAGATAGATAATTTACACGTTTAGATAGATAGATAGATAGATAATTT